TGTGTTGGTAAGAGCTTCTGGGCATGTGGAAAGGACAACTGAGGGGCTTGCTAAATTTCAACGAGCTGGAGTAATGTGAATGTGATATATATGATATTTGTTTATCTGTATAAATTCCTAAGTTTATGAATACGAGAATGATGTGCACAGCTGCAGGACCAAAAAAAGAAGAGACATTTAGTTTTTGCATGAGCAGAAAATCTGTCTTCACCTTCAGTTTCACTTTATTAGATTTAATCAGTATCTAAATATGAATTCTGGCAGCTATAGCACCTCTTATTCATCAAGCTGGCAGCTGATTGGCCCCACTGATCATTGCAGGAAACAGACGTTGCTGCCTAAAAGACACACATTCCAGGTGTGTATAAATCACTGTATTCTCAATATGTCATCCTATGCAACTGAGACACACTGAAACATAGATATTTACTGAATCATATACTTAAAATTATATGACATTTAATTTGCTTTTTCAGGTGTGACTTTTGATGCTGACACATACAATACAAAAAATATTACTTTTTTTTTAATATATTTATATTTAATATAGTTGTGCATTTAGCAGACGCTTTTATCCAAAGCCTCTTACAGTGCATTCAGGCTATACATTTTTTTTTACCAGTAGCCTGTGTGTGTTCCCTGGGAAGCGAACCTACAACCTTTTGCACTGCTAACGCAATGCTCTACCACTGAGCCACAGGAACACTATAAATACTTTTTTTAAAGTAAATATAAAAAATCCATTAAAAAAGGACCATATAATGTAGAGTCAATTTTACTAATAGTTTCTGGGGGTAAAATTCAACCTGAAAAAAAATAAATAATAATAATGATCGATACTTACCAGATGGTTGCATATAGACATGTTTTATTCATTTACAGCATCAAGCCAGAACTGTGGTCATTGTTGCTAACAGCGAGATCCAATTTACTCAACCCTTTTTCTTTTCTCAGTCTGAGACCATTAAAGCTGATGACAGAACGCCCTTGGCCATTCTCACCGCAGCGTTTCACATGAACAGGAACTGAATGAGTTGTTCTTGACCTCCTAAACACTGCCCTTAAGAAAACTCTTAGACTTTTAGACTATGACCAGAAGTTTGAAGTTCTTTCAGCAATTATCATTATGACCTTGTGCTAAAGACATTAATTAATTTGCAGCCAAAATTTCTAAGTGGGATTTATTGAACAGATCTTAGCATGTGACAGGTACTTTTGCTGACTCTTGCGGTGCCTTCGTGGCTCTTGGACTAAAGGTCAGCTTATGATGTATTACAAATAATCAGCAAAATATGCTTTTTTAATCTTTTTCATGTGCTTGACATATTGAATATGAGGGCAATGACAGAGCAAGCCTCCTTAAAGGGGAATGTTGTGGGCGAGAGAACTGAACACAGCAATTTTAATGGAATCCTGCTCCCAATTTCATGCCATGCTCCTATGGAGGAACCAGAAAATCAGGCCTGAATGAAGATACAAACATATCCGTGGATTGTGGGGAGCTTTTCCTCACATATCCAGGCAATAGAATCTGCCACAGAAACAGCCCACCTTTGTACACCACACACACACACTCATGGCAGGGGGTGTTTGTTATACAGACGGCTGTCCTGATTTATGAACAAACACAATTAGTCACAAACAGTTACGCTTCTTTTGGCCTCTGGACAGCAAGAGCGTCTGTAATCCTACATCAGCCAAAATGTCTAATCTGTTCAATTATAAATTCAGTGTCTGAAAACAGCCACGGATTTATGCTTCCGGGTGTGAGATCCAATTAATCCTCGTTTTCATTTTAGCTTGTAATAACTAAAACATCTTTTTTTATAATAAAAATGCCCCAGACATCTTCATCTTTACTAAACTTGTTCAAGAAAAGCACATTTTGTTTCTCAGGTTCAAACTATGTCATGATTTGTACTCTTCTTTCTTTTCATTTAGTTTCGTTTGTTCCATATACCCTTTGTGTAGTTTATTTCCTTTCCCCTTCCTGCCTCGTGTTTTAAGAGAGTATTTCCTTTTAAACTCACTTCCATAATGCTACAGTATAAAATGTCTTTGAAAGAAACAGGAAATTTATTTCAAGGGTAAAAAGATGCATTTTCCCTGAGATCAAATTTTGAATACAGTGGTGCTTAAAACTGTTCCTCACGTACACCTTATTAATCTTACATAACTTTCAAAACTTAATTACTTGCCATACAATGCAAGATTGTGATTCTATTCAATGAATTTATTCGATAAGTCTCACTAAATGTTGCTCGTTTCCAGTCCTACCCAAAAGTCTTATACCAGAATGTGGGTCAATATATTAGCAGTAAAACACTGTCAAGAATTCAACACTGAATACAAACTGAGAGGACATTTATTAACAGCAGTTTGTGTAGTTCTAAAAATACGATTTAAATAGTGACAGGACACTTGTGAGAGCAATATATTCCTTATCCATCACACCTGCTTGTGTAACACCTGTACAGAGACAGAGGCTGTTGATGTTTGCTGTATTGTTAAATATCACCATCTGCTGGACCAATGATGTCACAGGCGGCTAAAAAGGCACAAATGAAAATTACCCCATGATTTACTCACCCTCAAGGCATCTTAGGTGTATACTGTATGACTTTCTTCTTTCAGACGAATCCAATTGGAGTTATATTAAAACATGTCCTGGCTCTTCCAACCTTTATAATAGCAGTAAATGGGTGTTATTTTTCAACAGTTCAAAAGAAATCCAATAAAGCGCATCCATCCATAATAAAAAGTGCCTCACACGGCTCCGGGGGTGAATAAATACCTCAGTTTCATCAACTTTGATTTTCATAGGTCAGGAATTTCATCAATATTTCTTCTATAATTCCTAAAAAGATATAGAACAGACACAAATGAGACAATCATGGACATATACAGTGGTGTGAAAAAGTGTTGGCCCCCATCCTGATTTCTTATTTTTTTGCATGTTTGTCACACTTTAATGTTTCAGATCATCAAACAAATTTAAATATTAGTAAAAGATAACACAAGTGAACACAACATGCAGTTTTTAAATAAAGGTTTTTATTATTAAGGGAAAACAAAATCCAAAACTACATGGCCCTGTGTGAAAAAGTGTTTGCCCCCCAAACCTAATAACTGGTTGGGCCACCCTTAGCAGCAACAACTGCAATCAAGCGTTTGTGATAACGGAAGGGGGCCAACACTTTTTCACACCACTGTACGAAGAATATATCTAAAATTAAATGAGAAATATTCATCCTGAAATATATGAATTTTGTAGATGTTGGTAGACCTACCTTGGCAAAGTTTTGAGTTCTTCTGTAACTCTCTGACAAACACTGGTGATGTTAATGGTGTATTTTTCTCAGTAAGCAAACATTTTCAGATGATCTTCATCTCTTGTCCTTACCAAGGGCAAACAAGTGAGATTTTATTTGTGATTCTTCTTTAATATGGGTTCTGTTCCTCTGTTATTAGCCCCTGAGTCTGTAAGGAAGGGATGTGAGACTTATGGTGACTGGTCCATCCACACTTTCACCTGCAGTGAGGATGAAAGCTAATGAAGAGGATGAAGTGAGGTGAGGAGCTCCAGCAGAGGTACAGCTCTAATTCCTTCTGTTCTAATTGGCCCAGTTCTTTCTCTGAGAAACCTTCAGGCCAAGATGTAAAATAATGAGAAGAGTACGAGCATTTTTTCCAAGTCTTTTTAAAAAGAATTTGTATGGGTAATTTACTTAATTAAACAGTTGTAAAAGTTTGTCCAAAGAGCAGAATTATTCAACATGCAGTTCCATATTCAACTTTTTAAAAATGAACTATGCAAAGAACAATAATTAATTGGTATATATAGCGTTAGCATTTAAATATTAAAAGGTCTGTAAAAGCACAAGAAAATGTATAAGAGGAATGTAAAACTGTGAAACATTTTTTTGCGACATATACAATTTATTTCTGTTTTTGACATTTTCTTCTGCTTTTTACATAATGATGGAGTCTTTGACATCTTTGGGTAGGGGTGTAAAGTATTCTTATAAGAAGTCAAAATCTTACAAATAAAAATAGATATCATCTTGACCCGATCTGATAAAGTTTCAGCACAAGCTTGCATACTGGTGAAAAGAAATATAATTCACAAGCACAAAATTAACATCTGCATGTATGTAATACGGTGCATCCCTGAATTGTTCTTATCAAATGATTAATTAGTGTGACTGTGATATAGGTACATGTAAGAATATCAATGTCTTCTGCATGTCATGTCTGGCTATGTTCACACTTAACTCTGATTCACTTCTCTGGGCTCATTTTTTACTATATTCACATCACCACCACAGGTTCCACATTTTTAACTCTGTAACATTATTAGACATTTTTATGATAAAATGTGCAGCTGAAACACTGTAGACAACGTACATATCAAACTGGTGCCAACTGATTTTTTTTTTGTTGCTAATTTACCCATAATACAGTATGTGCCTATCGTCTGTATCTGTCATTGAGCATATTTGCCTAACTCTCTTTCTATGATTTTTAGATCACCCAAACATGAAATTTCTATCATCATTCACTCACCCTCTTGTTGACTTCCTTTTATTTTTCATGATGCTTTTTTCCATTCAATGAAAGGGGATGGGAACAAGAAGCAGTCAAGCTTCCCAAATAGATAAAACAGAACCATAAAAATCTTAATGAACCGTGTTTGAATTTCTTGGAATGTGAATGATATTAAAGATTTATGATTTCTTTATGATGCTGTCTGTGAAAAACAACTTGTTTTTTTGGCACAATACCACATGGCTTCAGAAGACTTTGAAAGATGATTTGTATGATGCTTTATTGTCATCTTTGGAGCTTCATAGCTCCTCACTACCATTCACTTATGTAATACGGAAAATGAAAAAAAAAAAAAAGGCTAAATCTCTGTTTTTGTGTTCCATGGCAGGAAGAAACTCGTACAGGTTTGGAAAGACATGAGCTTGAATAAATGATGACAGAATTTCCATTTTTGGCTGAACTAATCCTTTAAAATGATAAATCACTTTGAATTAGAAGATCCTCCAGTGAAACCTCCTAAAGGGACATTGTTGAGGTTCAAAGCAACTATGCAAACACTTGCTAGTGGTTTTGTTCCACAAAGATCAGTTTGCCATTTCATTAAAAGAGGGGAAAGCATCAGTTCACAGCAATATTTTGGCCATTTTCCAGTTCTTGACCCAAGCACCAAAATAAAGTCTAGATTCAGAAGTTGCATTTGGCAGCTGTATCTCTATAAGAGAAACTGGACAGGGTTCAAATCCCCTGGGCTCTTTTCATCCGTCTCAAAAAGTTTCGCTTCTCCTCAAGCAGTTCCTGGATGCGCTTATTCCGTGTTTTCTCACGCAGAAACACACGTCCTCTCCTGGGGATGATGTTATTCACAGGAAATTCATTGTCCAATGGGATTATTCGATACGGTATATCAATAGCATTGCTCTCACTCACTTCTTCCACTTTATTTGGCCATCCGCTTGTCTTCTCTGTTCCAGATGCTGTTGTACTGGACAGCGGTGTACTGGAAGTTGTAGATACAGCAGTTGGTACCAGGGGAGCAGGTTCTTCAGTGGTTGTTAGCACCTCTGATATAGATGTCACTGGGATGCTGACATCCATATTGACCGAGGTTGTCAATTCCTTTTCATTCACACCATTCACTGTTGTTGACTGCAATATCGCACTGCTGTCTACATCTGGTGCACCACTACTCCCATCAAACTCTTTAAACTGGATGGTGGTGCCATTATTCAGATCACTGAAAATTACTGGGAAAACAGTGCTAACAGGTAATTCGGTGCTGTTTGCCACATCTGCAGGTGCATATGTGATCCTTGTAGCTGCAGAAACATTGCTAACAGGTAATTCGGTCACGTCATTTCCAGGTGCAGATGTGATCCTTGTTGCTGCAGAAACAGTGCTAACAGGTAATTTGGTGTTGTCTTCCACACCTGCAGGTGCAGATGTGATCCTTGTTGCTGCAGAAACAGTGCTAACAGGTAATTTGGTGTTGTCTTCCACACCTGCAGGTGCAGATGTGATCCTTGTTGCTGCAGAAACAGTGCTAACAGGTAATTTGGTGTTGTCTTCCACACCTGCAGGTGCAGATGTGATCCTTGTTGCTGCAGAAACAGTGCTAACAGGTAATTCGGTGCTGTTTGCCACATCTGCAGGTGCAGATGTGATCCTTGTAGCTGCAGAAACAGTGCTAACAGGTAATTCGGTCACGTCCGCAGGTGCAGATGTGATCCTACTTGGTGTAGTAATGGCAAAGGATGTGCTCTGTTCTGGAGTAGCGGGCTTATAGATAGGAGTTGTAGTATATGGATAAAAGGGCGACATTGCTAAAATAGTATATAACCAAGGTGTGCTCACAGATGTGGCACTTTTCCCTTCTGTGGTCGGCAAAAAGGCTGCTGTGGAGGTCCACACGGTGGTGGACTCTGTGCGTGTGGGACTTTGGGTTGTGGTGGATCGTCCGTTGGTGGTGATTTTCGTTTTGGATGGTGGCTTACTTGTGGTCACAGTGGTCTTTGTGATATTGCCAACCTTGCAGGACTTGCAGCACATGCGCTGGAAGCCCAGCAGAGAGCAATACTGCTGCAGCACCTCCATGCGACAGAATGCAGAACGGTCACCATGACAACGTTCTGCAACACAAGAGAGGGACCTGATAAGACATATGTATGTACATTGAAATCAGATATATGATTTAACATCGCAACAAGCTAAATACATTTGTTTACATGATCAAAACTAAATTTAAAGGTCAGATCAAGTAGAAAAAGCTTCTTAAGGTAACAATCACATTACATTTTTTACAATCTATGACGAGGAGTTTAATGAGGATATGTGCAGCTAACTAGAAACGTGTCTTCTAAGCTTTTCATGCTTTTCACAAGTTTGAGTAAGAACTAAGCAGAAATGGAAAAAAATATAAATTAGAGAGAAGCATTAGTTGAAGCAAAGGAAGAAACAGAGTTATGAACTGACCATTAAGCAAGTCTGCAAAGACAGGCATATAGATGCATACTAGAGGACTAAACATGTTAGGATGAGTTGGTTAACATGCAGTTTTCTTTTAATAAGAACAATAATTAATAATAATAATCTTCCTTGTGAATGTGGTTATTTATGGACTATAAATGTGGTTATTTGTGTCCTTCTGAATATGGATTATATTTATTTATATAATCTTTAGCTAAAACATTTTGCAAGATCCTCCAAAAATTGGTGATTGTCAAAGGGATTTTCAGTGGCTAACAGCTGAGAGTAGGGTATATATCTGCATATATCAATATGATGCAGATATATACAAAAAAATCAAAAACAAATTAATCACAGCTTAGGAGACCTTCACAAAATTGTAAAAACAACTGTTTTACACAACTTTAACAGAAAATTTGTTAAAATGTAAAAAATTGTTCATTGCACAACAAAAACCCATTATTATGTGAATACATGGCAAATATCAGTGTTTTTGCTTTACCCTGATTCACAGGGTAAATAAGGATTACAGTAATCCTTATTACTGTAGCAAAACTGAAACAATAATAAAACAGCTCTGCAAAATAACCTGCAATTCTACCACAGATGGTGAAAGAGAAACAGACAGAAAGCAGAGCGACAACACAGGCAGGAAAAAGCCATTTGATTTTTTTTGCTCTCCATTTTTATAACACTTTTTTTATTCCTACTTTTGCAGTTGATCATGACAGAAACTGAAACTATGAAATGCACTCCCACCCCCATTTAAACATACAGATAGAGTTGTCTTCTTCAGAAAAATAAATAATCAACTGTATTGAAAGGTACAGGTTCACAGTAACTTTGGTTAAACACTTCATTACTTTGAGAACAATTGATCCATTGGTAATTCAGATGAACAGGTAAATAAATAAATAGGTCATTGGTTAAATAAAATACAGGATTTCCATGATGATGTAAAAACTGGCATGGCACATACAAGTGTCATATATTAAACATTTACAAAACATTAATAAAGTTTCCCTGATAAATCAAAGTGCATATAGACGCAGTGCACGTAAGTCCATCTGAATGTTCCCCAGACATTTTTCCCCACAACAGCCAGCCAAGACGCAGTTAGGCCAGTGAAGTAACATGACAGTTACTCATAGTATATAATATTAGCATTTTTTTCTTATAAGTAAGGAAATAACAGTCATAAATGTTATTAAATACAGTAAACACCAATGTTTATTTACAGTATCTCACTGCAAGGTCTGGCTTTTCCTAGTGTTTTCTCCTCTCCAGGACTTTGAGCATGAAAATTCGGATAGCTCGCTACATAGTCACAACAGAAATGTGTTTCACAATACAATGACACGTCTGAAGTGATAAAGAGATGCCGAGTGTAGGTTTCCACTAAAACGCTCTCCGTATCCAATGAGTTAGCCACTGTTTTCAGATGTGTGATGATTGGTTGATCGGTCGGCTCTATTTCAGGTTTTGTTTGAAGCTGCCTCTGGTTTCTGTGCGCTAAGCCATCACTTTCACAGATAAATGCCGATACATTCAAACGTAGTGTAAGGCATTGTTCTTACGCTCTATGTACTCCCCCCCCATCCCGAAAAGAGTGCGCTCGGATGTGGATGAAAGTTCATGAGGTATATTTATGTGTCGTCTTTTGTATGGCCACTGGTAACTGTCGTTAAAAATGCATGCTGGCAGACGCATGTCGGAAACCCTCGCACATACGAAGGCATGACGAAAACGCATGTCACTCATCACCACGGAGATATTTAATGTGCATGAATCTCTCTCGTTCAGGATGAATCCGATAAAATGAAACCACTTCTCTTGAAAAAAAATTAATAAATAAAATGGAGAGGCAACTGGCTGAGCGAGTCCTGCATAATATAGGTCTTCCCCTTTCCCCGAAACACTTAACTTCTGTTATTAAATAGCTATAGTTCTGTATTTATGTAAAATCAATAAAAAAATACACATAACAGTCAAGAATTAAAGCGATCAATAGCAGTCAAAATGTTAGGCTAATAAGCTACAGCTTATTCATGGTAAAACAAATTATTAATATTTCATATTATTGGTACCCATATAGATTTATATTCATATATAAATACAAATATATTTATATGTTTGTTTAAAGTCTGCAAGCACAAATAAGCTGCATTTATTGAATTTGTTAACAGTCGAAGAGAGGATGGAGGATGAGGTGGTTATGGCATTCGAACATGTGTAATAAAGCGACCCTGTTTAGCAAGTTCCACCTCATGTTTACCATCGGCCACCAACATGTACGATGGCGGTTCAACAGTACGTCCCATGTTAACATCTTAACGTGTTTGTTTTTGTTCCAACAGTTTTCCAGAATGAACTAGGATGTGGAATGAGCACTTAGCAAAGATTTCCTCATTGTGACAAGTTCACATTCACAATAAAGCTTAGGTTTTTTTTGTCATTTGTTTTTCTTTTTTTGATCGTTTAGCCACTTTTCATGTTTATTTTTTCCCCTTCACACCTGCAGCTCAGGCGGCGCCTCTGTAAAACGGCGTCCGCCTTGAGAGCGTGAGCCATATGGAAACAGCTTGCAGAGGGCAGTGATTCAAACAAACGCGTCGCCCCTGCGGAAAGCTCAGCGCAATCATTAGCTCCGCAAGCTGCCCGTCCAATCACAAAGCCCCTCCTTTAACGAACATCCCCCGAATTTTTTACATGTTTTGTTTTGTCAACAATTTCTTACTGGCCAGCGTTCACAACACAGAGCTCCACAAAGGAGAGAGAGAGATAGAGCGAGAGAGAGAGAAACAGAGAAACCTCCCCCTATCGGAACGCCCCATAAAAGAGGACCACCACCCAGGAAAAAGAAGCGTGCAAGCCTCGGAAGAGGGAGGCAGTCAGGGGAGTTTGCCTTGTAAAGCCAGGCAGAGAGACAGAGGGAAGGTCCAGCTGAGAGAGGTGAGACAGCGCAGCGCCACAACGTGGCTGGAGAGAGACGCTTTACTTGACATCCTCTGCACGGGGTATTTGGGGTCGTGACGCGACAACCACTGTATCAGGAAGTTGCCGTGCTTGTTGAAGTCGGAAGCGCTCCCTGTCGCATGTGGGAGAGGGATTGGGAAGGAGAAAGCCCAGGAGACAAAGAGAATGCGAGAGAAAGAAAGAAAAATCAACTATATTAGTGTGTTCATTCGTGTTAAGAATTAGTCGGTTATTTCTGCAAAAACTAGTAGGCTACAGATAATTCAACTTTCATTAATAACATTAATAAGCATGCTGGACAGATCATTAGTATGTGTACATTCAAATAATCCCAATTCACCATACTTCATATATGAATACTTGGCTTCATATATTTTGGTCTTCATCAACATGAAATGAAAATCGATATCACGACTTCTGATTAGCGCTTGGAAGATGACATATAAAGATGGTATAGAAAGCTAGCATTGCATATTATTGTTTATTATTTATTAATCTAGTTAATGTTAGAAAGTTCTAGTTCATTGTTTTTAAAGAATTTAACACCTTTATTCAGCAAAATGCATTAAATTGATCAAAACTGGCAGTTAAGACATTTATGATGCTACAAAAAATAGCCTACTGAATAAATATTAAGCAGCACAACTGTTGTCAACAACCCCCATCAAACAAGAAATGTTTCATGAGCACCAAATCAGCATATTGGAATGATTTCTGAAGAATCATGTGACACTGAAGACTGAAGTAATGGCTGCTGAAAATTCAGTGCAATCAAACAGACAGGAAATGATCTGATGAATCAAAACTACAGGAAATGATCAGGCTTTACCTAAAATGTGAGTAGTCCCATTAAGTTCCTGGATGAAGAGATGTCTCGCCCCTCTGGGAACTTCCAGCACTTTAATGACACCTACACCAAAACATTTGCAAATCACTATTACTTTACTTCAATACTTTAATAAACATAAAAATGTGATTAAAGAAACAAAGCTTTTCGGACATTTCTAATACTATTAAACATGAACTGTCTATATGTGTTATTTTATTAAATTGTAGACCTTGTTTTGTTTTTGTTATATGGAGAGCTTGGATAATCAGGCCAGTATTAGACTAGTAAATACAAATCTTGCTTTTGTTATAAATATGTGTTTTTATACATTTAAAAAATGTAAACATTGAAACAGATATGACATAAAGCTTTGTTTCCTGAAATCACATGACTCATGGCAGTTTGATACAAGCTTCACAAAGCAGTGTTTCGAAAGCATCCATCACTACATTTCAGTATTAAATTAATAGTATTTGAAACCAACATTTGCTTTATGTAATTTTTTCACTGATCTTGCAAGTTGCACTGTGTTATGGGATTTTCTTTGCAAAGAATTTGTCTGAAAGAAGGTATCTTATTAGGCTTATAATTATGCCTATGTTTGGAAGAGCCATTGTGTCTGGACTGGGCCTGTGATGCCTTAAAATGCTGCCTCCACTAGGTTTTGGAACAAAGCCTACATGTGTGCTGCGGAAATGTACCTTTCTTTTCTACAAAGGTGAAGTTAAACTTGTGAGTCTTGCACTTGGTTCCATCTCCCCCGCAGACGCCACACTTATCTTCCTGTAGAGCTGATCCAACCACATTATCACAGCCCACTTTCTGAAGGGAGAGAGACATCATGAGCAACAGGCCACTAAACACAAACCTTTACAAACGGTACACACAGCTTTTCACCTCACAGTCTCCGGCCACACACACACTGTAGGGATCTTTGTAGGAACAGCGTGTTCCAGGTTCCACCGGAGTCTGCATGTTGACTACAGCTCGTGTTTCTTTGGATTGACAGTACAGTTTGCAGCGTTGCTTAGCTATGAAAAACAAGACAAGAGAGATCCCTGAGTGATGGACTGAGATCAAATGCACATTTATAAGGATTTAAATGATCTTGAATTCAAAGAAAAATATACAAACTCTAATTCTAAGAAAAAAATTAAGTAAAATAAAATAAATGTTGATCATATACCATTTAAATTTCCAAAAATATTCCACATCTAATACATCTTTGTCCAACAGAGGATAGTTAGATAACATTATTCCATGGTTTATACAAAAAAAGGTCTCTTGATAGTCTTTACATGGTCTATAAAAGCATTGTACATTATATCATCCCAAACAGTTTCCCAGCTAATACAAAAACTGGACGCTTCTGTTCCAGAAGTACATTCTAATAAGTCCAGTTCAATTTTTCATAAAGACCAAAATTATCTACGAACACTGTGATGCCTGTTGAATGTCCCAGTTATTTAAAAACATTTAATTTCATTCTGTGGAAAAAGTACAAGTAAAACAAGTACTTTATTCCACACCAAAAAAGCAAACCCACACAAATCAAATCGAGACCAACAGAGTACATTTCTCCAGAGAGTAAAATGTAAAAAACATGATGTAAAAATGATTCTCATCTGATCTAAGGTATCCAAGCCCATTTTGTGAACCACAAACATTCTTTTCTGAAGTATTCTGCAGTTCAGTCGTAATTGACATGACAGTAAAAAAAAAAGGCTCAAAAAGGCTCTTTATATGAGAATTACTTTGGATGTGCCTGTGTTGATCGTAAGACTAAGGCAGATGTCCACAGTGCTAATAACTCTGGAGGGATTTTATGTTCTAAGTGATGTCATGAATAGTGTAGAAGTACATGTGGAAAAAAGAGGGGGGTTTGAATGAAATCATATTTTAATGTGTACCCACTCTGTAAGTGAAAACAGCTGTGCGGAGAGATGGATTACATCAGTCTGCTTACAGGCCTGGCTGACAAACTGAGCTAGATTGTGCAGGACAGGAGTGGGAAACAATCTAAAGTAAGCTTTAAATAAAATGTAAATAATTTAAATAATAGAATTAAAATATATATTTAAAACTCAAACTACATTATATTCATTTAAATAAACGTTACAAATAAAAATATTTAAGATCTTATTTAAAAATTATTTACATTATAAAAAAAACATTTCATCTAGACCAGGGGTGGGCAAACTTGGCCCTTCCAGGTCACTTTCCTTCAGAGTTTAGCTCCAACTCTAATCAAACACACCTGAACCAGCTAATCATTGTCTTCAAGACTACTAGAAAGCTACAGGCAGGTGAGTTTTATCAGGGTTGGACCAAATCTCTGCAGGAAAGTGGCCTGGAAGGGCCAATTTTGCCCATCACTGATCTAGACCAACTGTTTTCAAGGTGTCTTTTTTGCAGAGGAAAAGTTGTTTTCAACTCTGTGTGGTCATGAAATCTGCCGTATTACTTACGGTCGGGGTGTTCATAAGGCAGCCAGTGGTGCCAGGTATTCTGGTACTCAAACTTGTTGTCCATCATGCTACATTGCTCGGCTCTGTAGTCGTGGTACGGGTCCTCACACTCATGCGTATTACAAATCTGGAACTGATAACTTGGGCCGGAGCAAATACGTCCACCATTAGCCGGACTGGAGGAGGTTAACGGAAGAAAAAAAATTAGCTATATATGAAAAACAGACAGACCAACAGATAGATAGATACACACCGCGGATTGTCACAAGCTCGTGTGCGAAACTGTAGTCCCCTTCCACAGAGGTGAGAGCAGGCGCCAAACTCACTCCACATCCCCCAGCTTCCGTCCCGTTTTATGATGTCTGGAGTCAACTGCATACAGTGGCCTTTAAAACAGTGCTGAGAGAGGAAGAGAGCAACACATAAACACAGAGGAAGCAAGTGAGTCTCAGGATGGATCTGTATGAAAGGCTGAGTGGTACCTTCCCATCACCGCATTTAGTGCCATCAATGGGCGGACCTTTTTTGGTCTTGCAGAAAAAAGGGTTGTCTGGGTGAGCACACCAAAGCTGCTTACAGGGGTCAAAGGGGCGATACTGAGAAACAGGAACAGAGAGAAGAAAAATCATTCTCAAACTCACACAATGAATGAGAGAAATCTGACGACAAGACACAGCTGGTCAGGGTAGGATCAAACTGAAGGACATCTGATGGGGTAAATCTAGTAAACTGTTCATTACAAAGACAAAATGATGTACAAACACCACTATTAAAACAGCCCTGTAAATTTCTAATAATTGAAAAAAAAGTTACTTCATATAATATAAAATATAATATTATAACAGTTGTTCAGGCATGATGAAATAGTATGATACATTTTCATTCATGGGCAGGTTACATTTATGTAACAAAGCAATCTCATGCAGGCAAATCAAAGCAATGACGAAAACTCTTTAAGTTATGATACAGCCTGTGACCAACAGCACAGTTAGACAACAGAATGCTGGCCAGTGATGGGATATGGTCTCAATTAAGGTCAAACGTTAAGCAAAATCTCTCTTTGTTTTCCTTCCTCCTAGAGGCGTAGTAGACAAGACCAGAATCTCTGGCTGTGGTACTAATGATGACACTACATTTAGCAAGATCCTAAACCCAACAAGCATTTTAAACACATCAAGACACCAAGTGCAAAATAATGGCTCACAGTTTTCAGCAGTAGCCAGCTGGCTGCTACTGTTGTCTCAGTTTGAATATTGTTTGGAGTTTGCCAAGCTAAATAGCGAAAAGATTGCTAGGCCAAAAGCTAGATGATTATTTAGCACCTGTAGAGATTTGTAGATGCTTCTGAGAACTGTACGGTTAAACTTGTTCAAGTCAGCAATCTATTCATTGATATATTTTTTTCTAATGAATGTAGAAAACTCTCTGAAAAGTCACCAGACTGCAATGACCTGGTTAACTTGACATTAAAAGAATGTTTAAAAGAGGTTTGAGATCTACAGTATTGAGAGAATCTGTGGCATGCTTTCAATTACTCCAGAGAATAATTTTATCCTTCAGTTCGAAAAACAGAACAAAAACAGAGTTTACACTAGTAGCAAGGCATTCCACAGGGTTTAGAAGCAGAAATGTTCTTGCTAAAGCACTTATATCAATTCTTCCATACAAAAATGTGCTACTTAAGCTGCAAAGGTGTCTAAATCAACCATTAAGCGGTGGGACTACTGTTCTGGGTGGATGAACCTCCAGTTGTGCATTTTCCTAATGCAATTCCTATGTGTGGAATTTGCTCTTTCGTTGAGTATTCATGTGCATGTATATGTGCATTTCTGTACACACATTTTTTTTACATTTATTTTTAGAAACTGAAGTACGAGCCCAAATTATTTAAATTCTTAAGTTTGTATTGAACTCAAGCACTCCTTTTAATTCTTGTGAAAGCCAATTATTTCAGAAACAACTGTGGGTTTAGTAGCCTGCTGCATATGTGTCTGCAAAATGACAATGAGCTGAACACCAACCGATAACATGTAATGATTAACAATAAGACCATCTGAATTGAATCAAGTTCAAACGAAAGATGCCACGTTGCGACTGAGGAGAACACCTTACCTGGGCTCCTGATGGCCCCACCTTTTGCAGCTAAGGGAATGGTTTAACAAGACAGTGAAGTACAGTCCAAGCAGTGCTGTTCAGCTGGAATCTCATTTTGTGAGCAAAAATTATTCTTCAAATCATTTTTATCCAGTTTATCAAGGGATATCAAACTCATGACATCTGGTTTTGATTAACTGATCAATTTTATTCCCAAAAGTGAATTACAAACAGTATAATTATAGCCACGCATTTTCTTTCCGATAGATGAGTGACATCATTTTGAAATTTGGTGTTCATCAAATGTTTTTTTTTTTTTTTATTGTCAATCTGGAATTTATTTTATATCAACATCTATATAAAATAAAACCAGGTGATGTGCTGTGGAGTAGTTTTAAAACCTGGGGCAGGATTCACAAAATAAAATTGTAAGATTCCTTAAGATGAATTCCATGAAGTTTGTAAGAATACTTGGTTACACTTTATTTTAAGGTGTCCTTGTTACAGTGTAATTATATACAGTATTTAAGTACTGAGTAATATTATTTAACTACATGTACTTACTATATGGTTAAGGTTGGCATTAGGGTTTGGCTTAGGGTTTCTTGCATGTAATAATGCATAATTTATTGCTATTATAATAGTAAGTACATGTAACATGCGTAACAAGGACAACAAGTGTTATCGAATACTCCTAAGTGCAACTGAAAGATTCTTAAGAAGTTTGCAAATATATTCTTAAAAACATCCTTTTTTCTTAAGAAGAAAATGACAGTCTTTATCTGAATACTTGACTGAAGACTCACTTCAAGGATTGCCTTCTTGCGCTTCCTTCAGATTACTCTAAAAATCATGAGTGCTTCACATTTTTAATGCGCCATGTTTTTGAACAGTTACTTTTAAAGAGAATGTATCAAGCTGCAGCAATCCGTTTCATTCATTTTTGTGCTGTTTTTGCGTTCTCTTCTGAGTGAACGCTTCCAGTATGTTTGTCCGCTCTGCTACATTAAACGCGTCCTGTGTATGGGTTTTCTACTCGTTCTACTCATTTCTACTCATTTTTGTAGAATTGTTTACATTATCAGTCATCACTGATCACTTCAGAAAACTTGTGCACACCCTTATTATTAGCGCTACTATGTACTGTATAATATGTAGCTAGTGTTGTTGTGGCTAGTCTAATGTAGCTAGTCTTGTAGCTATTCTTATTACTAGTCCTACTATGTAAATTATGTAGCTAGTGTTGTAATGCCTAAATATATCAAATAATTTGAAATATCCCGATAAATTCATTAAATCATTCTAACTATTTGGAATTTAAGACAAGTTTGAGGCTATCCTAACTTTAAGAAGTTATTTATGATGATTTTTAAGAAAATTCTTTTGAGTTCTTGAAAGTTTTGTCTTAAGAACAATCTTAAGAAATAAGATAGTGTTCTTACGAAGAATTTTTGAGAATGCAAAATATTAAGAAAACTTTTTTCTTAAGTTAAAAAATAAAATGAAAATGGCAGTTAAGAAGACATTTTTTTCTTTAGAATGTTTTATGAATCCGGCCCCTTGTTCATCTCTTGTTCACTAAAAGATTTGTTCACCCAAAAATGAAAATGGTTTCATTATTCACTCACCCTCATGTTAGCCCGCCCCGTATGACTTTTTTTTTCTGTGGAACACACAGAATGTTTTAATTGCTTTTCAACTTGCAAAATTATTAAAAAAATATTTGAAAAGATCTGACTCAAAAGAAGAATTTGTTAATGAATTTATGCTGCTTCTCTGAAGAACATGCCAAAAAGAGCTAGAGCGGTGAGTGGTAACTGTATAACTTACATTACTTCAGAAGACTTGGAATAAAGTGCATGAGTCATAGGGACCACTTTTATGATACTTAAATGGTGCTTTTGTCTCCTTTATAAAGCTTGAAAGCTCCTTCTTTTGTGCTCCACAGAAGAAAGAAAGTCATACTGGTTTGAACCAACATGAGCACGAGTAAAATAGTGACAGACTGAACATTTTTGGTGCACTATTCTGTTCCATTAAGCCTTTTCCATTTGGCATGTACAGATATCAAAACTCAGTCACTTAACACAAAATACACATTCATAATGCATTATTGGCATGTATAACACATCATACTGGGTCACAGCAACCTACGGTGAACCCAATGACCACAAATGGTGATTGTTATGGCAAGCTGATGGTTGTCAAGGAAGAATGCTTGTAGAATTATACATGCTCGGAGTGATTTTACAATCTCGTAATAATAATGCATTACTTGAATGAAAAAGCCTGTGCAGCAGTGAATTCAAGACTCACCGCTGTGCACATCATGTATCCGGCCCCGAAGTCAAAGCGACACTGTTCGTGCATGGAGTAATGCAGCCCGGGCAGGTGTGGAAGCTCCTCCCATTTGTGCTCGAACGGGTCGTCACGGAGACAATCTTATACATGCTCGTAGTGATTTTACAATCTCGTAATAATAATGCATTACTTGAATGAAAAAGCCTGTGCAGCAGTGAATTCAAGACTCACCGCTGTGCACATCATGTATCCGGCCCCGAAGTCAAAGCGACACTGTTCGTGCATGGAGTAATGCAGCCCGGGCAGGTGTGGAAGCTCCTCCCATTTGTGCTCGAACGGGTCGTCACGGAGACAATCATACGAACTTCAGAGGCAGAATGAGATGGTAAATAATCCACAGTCGTACTAGTCAAGATTGTCTGTGTATGTCTGTCTAGCACTCACTGCAGGTAGCGGCCCAGTTCCTGTTGACTACAGCGGGACCAGTGGAAGCGGTGGAAAGCCGCCTGCACCAGTGGAGCCATGATGCTCCCCATCTGCACCTCATCTCCACAACGATTCCCCTGCCCATCATGCTCCATTCCCAACCTATAACGCACACGCATATATACAATTTACTTTTTTGAGAACAACTTGCCCCTTATTTTGGTATTTTTAGACTTATGTGGAATTATGAGAATTTGAGAGTTTTGAATAACTTGCTTGTGTGAATAATTCAATGATTCAATCATATAGGCTGTCACTTGTTCTGTTCCTGAATGAATTTGTTTTTGAACAAATCTATTGAGAAAATTACTCAACGATTCACTCATAGTGGCTGCGTCTAAAATCGCATAATCTCTAAGAAGGTACCTTCTGATGCACACTTCAAAATCTTGCCAAAAGTAGTACGTCATCTGGGTACTATGTTATCAATACTGGGAATCTGAACATACTACTCTTTTCACATACTGCTCTGCACCTACAGTAGGAAGTATGCAATTTCAGATGCAGCCAATCACTTGTTTACTCAATGAATCCATGTTGAATAAATTGGTTGCAAACAATTTAAAATGATTCACTGATTTACTTATAACAAGACAATCAGCCGTTCGAATGATGCTCAACCAATCAGATTCATGGAACATAACTCAAGGACCTGAACGAACTGCGGTATAAATGAAAATATATGAGGTATCTTTTGACATACTGTAGCAGATACTCACACGTGGCCGGTTTCATGCGCCACGACAAAAGCTGATGAGAAACCGTCCTCATGGTTGAGAGTGCAGCTCCGTACGGGATGACACATGCCTGTGACAGGAGCGTAACCTAGCAACACATAAGAACACCTGACTGAGTTTGTCCTCCTCACATCTTCATCACATGTTATTTCTTACACTTATCTTCCACTGGTCTGAGGCCTGAAGTCAAGGTCATTTCAAGATCATTGTGGCATGTCCTAACAGATACATATTTTTCAAACTGAACGCATGTGTTCATGTTTGAAAGATCATCTGCTCTTGTTAGCAGCATGTTTCAATCTCTGGATTACCTGTGTTAGTGTGCATGTGTGTTGATTTTACCCTGCATCCCTGTTGGTCCAAACTCTTGACGAGTGAGAAAGATGGCGTGATCATGGTATTCTTTATCGTTAGTGTCCTTCTTCTGCTGTTCGAAAGCCCAGCGACACACATTCTCCAGACTCTGAGAAGGATTACCCAGCTCAATGAGGCTCGTGGACTGAAAGCATACATGAGAAGGATGTTACACTCAAAGCTACATTTGATCAAGGTGTGAATCAATTACAAAAATTCTAAATTAAGTTATGGGTTCAGTACAACTAATAATGGACTAGTTTACTATTTAACATTTTATAAATTTCTGAAAGAATCTATTATAAAAAATTTTTCTTTTGCTTTTGTTTTATGACTTCAGAAGACCTGGAATACAGCACATGGATTGAATGGATGACTTTTATGATGCTTTGGAAACTTCTTGAAATCATGGGGGGAAAAAAACAACTAGAATTCCAAAGCATTTTATTAGTTTTAAGAATTTCATAAGGGTTTGAACTGACATGAGGGTGATTAACTTTTGAAAGTACTGATGATTGTTACTGCCAGTCCAATGTAAGTATGCATACTACCTTTCAAAAGTTTGGGGTCGGCAAGATTTTTTAATGGTTCTTAAAGAAATCTCTTATGCTCACTGAGGCTCCAATTACAGTAAATTACAGTAAAACTAATGATATTGTAAAACATTACAATTTAAAAAGAACTATTTTAAATTGTTTTAATATATGTTAAAATTGTATTTATGTGTGATTTCAAAGCTATTTTTCAGCAAACTTACTATCAGTAGTTCTTCTCATTATCAGTGTTGTTTAAACTGTGATTTGTTTTCTAGGATTCTCTGATTAATAGAAAGGTTTAAAGAACAGCATTTATTTTAAGTAGAAATCTTCTGTAGCATCATTAGTTGTAACAGTCACTTTTGATCAATTTAATGTGAATAAAACCATTAATTTATTTAAAATACTGACTTCAAACTTTTGAATGGCAGTGTATAACCACAAGACTTAAAATTACACGAGTTAAAATGAGAGGTAAATTGCAGTACTGTATACTAACATTGTCTTTTTAGTTATATCAAACATCTTGACCATTTAATACTAGTAAAGCTGGTAAATTTAATATGATGTACCCTTAGACATCCATTATTAGTACATTACTGAACACTGAACAATTGTTGTTTGTTTTAATACTGAGGGATGACTCGAAACTTTTTTCTGTAGTCAAATCACAGATGTTGAACCTAGACCATTCCTTTAATCAGAGGACAGACTCCTAAACAATTACATCAACACAAACTTCAAAAGCTCGGCACTATTGTTAATCAATCAGCTAGTATCATCTAGTATTCATTAACGTCCTTTGATGTTGAAAGTACTGAACAATCCAATCAAAATAAGTTGTATAGTGAAACTGAACACGTTGACATGAAATGTTTATATAATAACAACAACAGAAAAAAAAGTTTACATTATTAACAATGGCAGCTGTGATGCTGTTATTATTGCTACATTTCACACTCGTGTGAACACAGACGTAAACATTGCACCGCTTTTCTTCCATAATCTGTGCAGTGAGGTAAATGTGTGCAAAGAAACAACCAGACAGGAATGTGTGGCTGTGCTTTGATGACGTGGCCACGAGAGCCATGGAAGTAGGAGATCCTTTCCAGATGCGTGTCCTGAAACTGCCTCTCTTTCCCTGTGCCTCACTCTTGTGCATTTTATGCATCAAGGTCATGAACTCTGAGAACTACGCTGCAATGTCTTCACCAACCAGTAGAGGGAGGCTTCACCATTCCAATGCATAGCTGTGCACCATGGGAAGAAAGAGGGTGGTGGGAAATAACTCAACTCAGCATCACTCTCAGAACAAGTGCATCTAGCGCTTTATTCTCTCATTACACTTCATTTATTTGTGACTGAGGATTTTTACGCAGTAGGTTTGTGCACAGACAGCAGACTAATGTAAACTAGTTACTATGATTTATCTTCATTCCATCACTGAGATGGTTGTTGATAATGTCACGAAGGGTGTTTTCTCAGAATTCTGTACACAAGAGACTTCCTCTTGTTCTTGTTAATGGAATACATGACAGACGTGAAAGCGTGCTCATTAAAAGAACGTCTCGGCATCTTTATCTTCTCTGTGATTCACCGAAGATGCACACATGCACACACGCTCTGTGGACTGATGCTGGGTGTGTCATGTCAGGGTATCTTTATCTTTTCGGTGCTAGGTGAGGGGAAGAGCGGAACAGATGTGTGGAAGAGACTGTGATGTTGGAACCTTGTTGGAGGTGTGCGGGGTCACTCGGTTGATCGGTGCGTGCCGCTGCCGGCAGCAACGGTTGCCACAGTAATTGGGAATGATGGACAACCTGCTGGCAAGACGGGCGAGGCTACATGCTGATTGGGGCTGAGGCGGCAGGGGAGAGGAGTGGGTGTGGAACAACCAGGCATTTGTGTAAGAGCGAGAAAAAGAGGGAGGGAGAGGTGGAGAGAAAAAGATACAGATGGAGAAAGATGTATATCTGTGGCAGTGCTTTTGAAATAGGTGGGTGATCTAGAGTGATCTAGAGTGAGTGTGAATAAGAAAAAAAAACATGGAAAGGTTTTCACACTGAATGAGGGGTGAGGTTGAGATAAGGGTTAACAAAATTGTGATGAATTTACTAAAATGGAACAACTGCATCAATGTGCCTCTATTTAATCGGAAGTATCTCTAAGTACTACATGCGGATGATGGTTTTAACATCCCAGGACATTTCCCACCTTAACCATACAGCGTTTGAGTTATGGAAGCCATGAATCGAGTTCTCTCTGTGTGTGTGTGTGTGTGTGTGTGTGTGTGTGTGTTTTGTTTTAATGAAGTAATGCGTTTGTATGAACTAGCTTTATTAGCTATTAGTACATTTACATTTAAAGCACTGTGGGTATGTAGTAATTACTGACCTGATAATCCTGTAAGAATGTGTTTATTATAAAAATTATGCATATTCAGTCAGACACATTCTGGAATTGTACTTGTATAAACGGAGGACAAACATCCTAGGATTGTGTGCTCATTATTTTGTTTTAAAACAAATTTCTGAATAATTTTTAAAAATAGAGTATGGTACATTGCATAAAAAAGCTGGGTGGAAAGATCAATGTGCCAATATGAAGGTAGATAATTTGTTATTGAGTAAGACATAAACTATAATGGAAAATCAAAAGGACATGTGACTTTGCCTCAAGTCATGTGACTGAATAACTCACTCGCAGAAGAAAACATGTTTGCGTCAACCCCCTGGCAGTGACAGTTTTGTTCTCTTGAACACAAAGAATGGAAATGCTGGTGTATTCATGAATGTTTTTGAAATATTCTGATTTTTAATTAAATATTTAACTTGGACGGAAACCAGGGTTATAATAGTTAACTAAAACTATTTTTTTTTAAATATTTTTGTTAATTTGAATAAAGCTGAAATAAAATAAAAAATAAACAGATAATAGGGATGCATTCAATTGCTTTTATTTTGTGTCTAGAGTATGTCGTCTATGCCAGACTCTACCACTGGGAAGTGGCCAGCCTGCCATATGATTTCAGCATGGTTTTTGCCATTTAAAATCATTGTATATTTACTTTTGATCTAAATATGGTTTCGACAGCCAGCCCACAGGTCAATCGAGCCACTGGGAATGTCCCGGTCCTCCCTATGGCCACTACATCCCTGAATGGAGTTAAACAACATTTTAAGCCACAGCGAGACGCAGACGAAGCGTGACCAGCAACAGACGGAAGGAAAAAGACAGAATGGAAAGGAAACCAAAGGTTGTACGAGCACAGGGACAGAGATGAAAAGAGAACTGACAGATAAACAGAGAGAGAGAGACCTGTGTGCCAACCGCCTGATGAGTTCATGTGGGACAGTTTGCATTTTAAGAACTTAATCCTGGAAAGACAAGGCCAGAGGGACAATCACCACAAATCAGCGCAGGAAACGCCATCTGCCTGACCCGCCGTGGACCTCCGTCTCTCCATCTCACCTGAAACCGCACGTAATCACCATGTAACCCCACACACTAGCTGTCACAGAGGAAAAAATCACCATTTATCATAATGGCTGGGGGTGGTATAATGGCTCAGTAAGAAGAGCCAAATTTGAGGGCACCATAGCGTTGTGAGCTATTCCTCACGTTGGGTGAACTGACATTTGTGGTAATGGTAAGCTCCATCGCAGAGATAGAAAGGTGATGGATTGTCATGTTTAAGTGGCTTAAAAATATCTTCCTCATGGGTTACGCATCCAGATAGCACTCCTGGAGAAAAGATCCTTTCTTCCTGAACCTGATTGAATAAATGGAGTAGGTGTTAACTTCACTATTGATTAAGAGGTTTTTTTCTAGACATCATATTATTCAGATGATCCCAGAGGAAAATTGCTCTTTCAAAACTCACTTTAGTTTGTCTCTAGATTTTCTCATTTAAAGGTGAAGTGTGTCATTTCTGAGCCACTAGTGGCACTAAATCAGGCCATCGGTTGAGTAAATGTTGCTGTGTCAGGTAGCTCAAACAAACAATGTTGAAAGATCTGATTAATTGAAAGGCTTAAAGGGTTAGTTCACCCAAAAAAGAAAATTAGCCCATGTTTTACTCACGCTCAAGGTCATCCTAGGTGTATATGACTTTCTTCTTTCAGATGAATCCAATCAGTTATATTAAAAATTGTCCTTGCTCTTCCAAGCTTTATAATGGCAGTGGGTGGGTGTTGTTTTTTAAACAGTCCAAAAGAAGTCCAATGACGTGCATCCATCCATAATAAAAACGTGCCTCACACGGCTCCAGGGGGTGAATAAAGGCCTCCTGTAGCGTATCGATGAGTTTTTGTAAGAAAAATATCCATATTTAAAACATTATAATCACTTTTCTCTCACTTCCTCTAACTGTTGTACGTGCAAGCCGTTCCGGGCAGATGACGTAGGACGTATGCATTGCGCACCCGCCTGTGAGATATGCTAGTCTCTTGAGTTTGTTTACAGGAGCAAAGGAAGCAAAGTTTCCTTACTTTAGCAAAGTAATCGAAATCCTCTGAAATTTTTCTTTACAAATCCTCGTTTTATGCTTCTAATTCATGACCAGTGTTTTGTTTAACTCTCTCTCCAACGAGCTTCTGCATTCGTCACTAATCACCGGCGCGTGCACTACGCCTACATCCTACGACATCCGGAACGGCTAGAAAGAAAAGTGTAAACAGAGCCGTGTGAGGCACGTTTTATTATGGATGGATGCTCTTTATTTGTCGTCTTTTGGACTGTTGAAAAAACACTCGCCCACTGCCATTATAGAGCTTGGAAGAGCAATGACAATTTTTTATGTAACTCAAGATTGGATTCGTCTGAAAGAAGAAAGTCATATACACATAGGATGCCATAGGAAAAATGACTCAATGACCCACTCAGAAATTATTGATTGAATTGCTTACAAATTGCCTCACGTGATTCATGTGAATGATTTAATACTTCAGTCATAAGTAGAGTCTTAACAAATCGGTTAAGGAAATAATTCACTGACTTGACAGTTACTTCTTGAATGAATCTGTGTTGTGAACTAATAGTTTGAATGAATCTTTCAATGACTCACTCACTCACTCACTCATTGTTTCAGTGATTAACAATAAGGATTAAATTATTAATAGGAATGAATCAATGATTCACTTATAAAAAGAATCAATTAATTAATACTATCCTCATTTCTGTCTATGTGAGATATTAAAGGTGGGGTAAGTGATTTCTGGTAGCCAATATTGATATTTCAAATCACCAAAACAAACACGCCCCTAACCCAAAAGGGTCTCGCCCCTATTTTGATAGCTCCGCCCCACACATACGTACACAGCCCAGGCAACGATTAGTTCTGTGAAATAAAGCAAAACCAATGTTACACCGTGTCTACACCGGACGCGAGCGGCGCGGCGCGACAAAATACTATAGCACTCATTATAATCAGTGATGCTGTCTACACTGGATGCGGCGCGGCACAGCACGACAAATCCCCAACAGAAAACTGCTGCTGTGTTCTATTTATGACGTGTTGACACAAATTTCAAATGATTTTCAACGGTCCCTTTTGTTGCGTCCGGTGTACAGACTTTAGCTGTTGCGGCGGAACACGTCCGGTGTAGACACGGTGTTACTCACCTATCAAGAAGAAACAAAGCAACCTCGGCGTCCGATAGCAGGCCTTCCGCTCCTTGAGTTCTCTCCAGCGCTGGAAAGCTGATCCGATATTTACACGGGTCCTACTTCTTGTCTTATCGTAAGCCTTCTATTGTTCCGCAGACGTTTTCCTCTTTTGTTTTTTATCTGCCATCTAATGTTATATCTTTCTGTCATCGGCTCGTCGCTCGGCTCGGCTAATGTCCACTGCACTGAGTGCTCTCTCCTCCGCATCATGAGTAGACACACCCCTTACTGCTGATTGGCTACAAGTTTGTTTTGGTACTAGGCCCGACTCAGTTTTCTTAAGCGTTTTTGAAAAAATACATACCCCACCTTTAAAGAGATATGGGACTTTCTTTGTGAGTAACTGTGTCAGATGAAAGCTGAACCTAGAACTGTGGTCACTATCAGGTCAACCACATCTGAGGCTGGATACCTGATCTGAGATCAGCCTCTCCCTGATCTCCAGTTACAGGAAGAACAGCATTTTGTGGAGCTGTGTTAATGAATGAGGCAGGGTCATCATTGATCGTTTATCTTGCATTCTTGATTCTTCTTCCCAGAATCCTTTGCTTGGTCCCATAGGGGAGGTGCTGGTGTGTGCGTTTATGTGTTGGGGTGGGGGGTATTGGGAAGGCAATTGCATAACATCAGCACTCTGTGTGCTTTGGTGTTGAACTGTGAAGGCGTGCGACTTTGAAAAGACTCCCATGGGAACTCTATGCTTTTAGTTCCTGTTTGCTCAGTCCGGTGGAATAACAGGCCCTAGGCCATGGTGAGCACCCAGCAAAAGCGGGTGGGGAAAAAATGTGCATGTAAGCTAAGCTAGCGGTGTGTTTATGTGTTTATGTAGGTGTGAGTGTGAGACAGAGGGTGGAAGAGAGGGAGGAACGGAGTGTGTATCTTATAGATGTTTGCCACTGATGCGTTATGTCAAACTGTCATGATACAGAACTGCAAAGTGCTAAACGGCTACAGACGAAATTGATCATTTGGGGGTTTGCATAAAGAGAAAAAAATATTTTTTAGGTTACATCAGTGCTCACTCACTGTGAAAACTAAAGTCTGAACATGAAGTCTTAGATGAAACCTCAACTACGAAGATTTCTACGATAATTTCTGCGTTACTAGCAGCACCAAACACGTTTTCCAATCACACCATCCATCTTCCATTGAACAAAAAATGAAGACAAATAAAAAACAGATAGCCCAATCCTTAACTCAAAACACTGGTTAAGCCACACTGTAATGTGTGGGACTCCTCAAAAATGTTGAAACAGTCACAAATGTTTACAACTTTTTTGGAAGCTAGCCTACAAATCGTTTACAAATATTTGTCTGTGACGTATTTAACAAAAGAAATGACAGTTCACATTTGATATGACTATAAACCATTATAAACTATACAACATGAAATACCCAAGCTCACCAACATAACTAGATATATGACTGGATTAAATTCATCATGCAAGGCTGTTTGCCACAAATATGCTTATTTCTGAGCAATATATAAGATATTTAAGAAAAAAATTAATGACAGGGTTTTGTGACGTCAGTCGAAAAAGTTAAGTTGTTTCATAGGCTGAGCAAATTGCACAAAAGATGCAATGATGAATTATAAGTAACATAATGATCATACAGAAATGTGTAATAAAAAATAATGTTGTCAGTAGATTAATGCTTCTTACTTTTCTGGCATCGACCAAAACAATCCGAACTAGCACCACGTTTATTCGTGCCCCGAGAGAATGGTCATGATAGATCTCGTTCACCTGTGAAGAGAGAAAAGCAGTGTTAGATGCAACATTAAGATCTTAATATTGAGACAGGCAGATATCGTAAGAGCAAAAAGCCTCATTTTAGAATACATTCCATTCAAGTAAATTTAATGCTATTTGACAGAGGTCAAAAGTGCGGATTATGACTAAGTGATATCCAAGACTTCACACTGGGGACATCTTCTACAGATTCAATGTTCCAGTCTGCCTTTTAGACATGTTTCAGCATTATGTTTTGTTGTGCAAAATGGCACAGCAACTTTAACCCATTTACTCCCACCGGTCACAACAGTGACCATAAAAAAAGTTTTTCATTTGTAAAGCTCTAAAAACCTTACTGACTGATGTGGTTAGTGCAAATTCTTAGCACATGGTTGGTGCAAATTGTCAGATGACCAGAGCACTTTATTTCCTGTTTGCACCTTGAGAAGATGATGGCTGCATCAAAGCTCCAAAACGAAAGGAGATAACGAAAGGAGAAGATATTTGGTACACATTTTCTTTGAGGTGTCTAGTATTAATATATGCAATGACATATATTTAGTTTTGTTGAGCGTGGTCATAGAATGAGTAAACATCTTGATGGTCACAATAGTGGGATAACAGTGAACTTAGGTATACAATATAAATCCAATTGCAGTTGTTAGTGACAATTGCACTAAAATGTTGCAATGACAAAATACTGCACTAAATTAAAAATTCTAATGTAAGAAATAAGTTACAATATTGATGTTGTAATACTGGTAGCACTAATATAAAAATTTTATGATGTACTGTATGTTACAAAAAAGTAACAATTTTGAAATATGTTGATGGATGTATTTTTTTGTCTTTTATCTCAGTATTCCTATCAATGTTGTATAAGGATTTTTTATGCATAATAGTAACCCTAGAATGTGATCAAACAGTTTAAAATAGCTGGGCTGAGATATATGATATTTTTTATGACTGCAGAAATGTGTTAATTCAGTACACACATTATTCCACCGGTCACAATTGTGACTGACCATAAAACACAATTGTTCATACACTTTTCCAAAATCAAAAAAATATTATTTATTATTTCAAAGGGTTACTAATGACACATCATTTGGATATTTTCATGTCTGGGAAAAATTTGGGATTAAATGGGATAAATTATAAATAATATATTAATTATGAATACTAACCCCAAAACCTTTTCTAATTGTATCTTCAAAAGTTTAGGGTCCGTAAGAATTATTATTAATTCATTTTTTTTCCTGTGAAGCAAATCAGCATATTAACATGATTTCTGAAGGATCATGTGGCACTGAAGACTGAAGTAATGACTGGTAAAAATTCAGCTTTTTCGCAGGAATAAATTACTATATAGCTTACTATGAAGCTGTTGTACTTATGCTATCATTTACTAAAGTTGCAATATAATGTTTCAGCTTTTCAGTTGAACTCCAGCTAGACCATCTTAAGCCAGCTAAGACCAGCAAACCATCTAAGGCTAGGTTATTTTTAGTAGGGTTTTACCAAATTTTTGGGGCCATTCCGCAGAGACAGCAAAGCATAACACACACACATAGCAACACATAGACAACCTGCAAAGCTGCACCCAATAATGTTTAAGAGAGCCTTTTTCATTTCCCATGATTCTGCAGTTTGACTTCTCACCCCACACCTCAGCCATCTTTACTTATTCAGCTTGCAGAAGGATGGGCCTCATGCACTGTGGGAAACGCTGTTCCCAGACAGAGAGGGAGACAGAGGCAGACAAATTGGTACAGAAGTTAAGACATGGTGTCCTCTGCCGCTCTCGAAGCCTGCTAATGAGACACCGAGATGTATACACAGCAAACAATAATGAGATTTCTGATGGACAGACTGCGGGAGGGGAAGCGAGAATAAGAGACGAAGACAGACAAGAAGAAAGGGCTTAAAAGGGGGCGGCAAGGAAGAAGGAAAGCGATGGGAAAGGATTATACAATGCACTTTCTGAAACCGATCTTTCTCACCTGCTCTTTTATTTTTGTACAATTCACTGGTTGCTGCGCAACCGGCAAACTTCAGAGTGGGGTGGGGCCGTGTTTCTCTCTCTTTCTGCGTGTCTGTATTCCTGGCATTCCCTCTCTGCTTGCTGTCATTCCTTTTGACAGTCGGAATATTTTTTGGTTGCGCTGTCTGTTCTGCAGACTTTGTTTTTACAATTCACAACTTTACTGAATTCATTATTCCCTCCCTTTCAGTTTTAAATCAGTATATGTGTCTGTAGCTGCCAAAAGCTTATCTTTCAAACTAGTGTGTATAGGCCTTTCCCGTAGCACCCGCCAAGATTTCTTAAGAAATTCTAAAGAGTGCAGCTCTTAGGCTCGGTTGCCTTAGTAACCGCGTTAATACAGATGACTGGTAAAAGCACAGATGACTTCCAGGTGACCATGACTCCAGTGTTCTGAACGTTAATGATCGTTAAACTGAGGCACGACTTTCATATGGAACACACACTGTGAAACACCTCAGGACTCTGCATTAGGAGAAGCAGTGCATGATGGGATATGACTACTGCCTTGTTTCCAGGCTTCACTTCAAAGAAAAAAAAAAGACACGGCTGGCAGTAAAAGTTTATTTCTCTCATATTAATACAGTATGTGCTGGGGCTGGACAGTATAGTATGTATTGTACTGTAAGAAGGGTATAAATGGGTAGAAATTCTGTATGTACATTTACGAATTGCGGTAGATGTTTTGGTAACACCAAAACACTTTATTTTAAGGTCCAATTTTCACAATGAACTAGTTGCTTATTAGCAGGCATATTACTAACATATTGGCTGTTTATTGGTACTTATAAAGCACATATTAATGCCTTATTCTGCGTATTTAAGATCCCGTAATCCTATCCCATACCTAAACTTAACAACTACCTTACTAACTATTATTAAGCAGCAAATTAGGAGTTTATTGGGGCAAAAGTCGTAGTTAATCGTTAATAGTGAGAATTGGTCCCTAAACTAAAGTGTGACCAATGTTTTTAATCCAAAAAAGCAATTTATAGTACATCCAAATTACAAATTTCAGCAGTACATGCATTGGCTGAACCAATGGCATTGGCATTACTAATGTCATGATCTGTGTCAAGCTATACAATATTTGGGAAGCAATATAAAAACCTCCAGCACCAAGCAGAAAACTATTTACTCTGCAAACTTGCATCTCATGTGCGAAAACAAAACAAAACAAAAATGTCACTTAAAATACAATTTAAAAACATTTTCAATTATTTTTGAATTTTCAAAATTTTGAATTTGAAATATTTTTTTTTATTATTAATGTTAAATGAAGGAAGAAAATGACAATCTGACTGACTAAAACATTACAACATGGATGTGCAATAAAATATTTCTGAGGAGTGTTTCTAGCAAAAACAATAATGTATGACAGAATTTTAGTTACACATTAAAACATTTTTAAATGTTATGAAAATAATTATAATTATATTATAATCTCATAATAGTTTTGTTTTTATATAAAAGTCAGTTTTGTAAATCAAGATGTTTACAAGATTAAAATATTGATATTTTGAATTATTGATAATATATTCATAATTATAAGAGTAAATGACCTCGTAAAAGGTGTATTAAAGAATATTCTCAAAATTTTTGAAAATTTTAACATGATGCCAACTAACATGCTGTTGTATACCGCCCACCCCTACATGCACACATTAATAGAAAAGCTTATCACAAGCAACGCTGGATGGATATTCTAATATTAATTGGAGTCACAAATCTTCAGCAACACCAATAGGGTTCTTCCTCAACCTCCTACAAAACAAAAACCCTATAGCCCCCTCCCACCCCTCGCTCTCTATGTTAATGATCGTGGGAGTGTAGGTCTCATTAGTACTGCCCTGGTTGCTGGCCTTGTTCAGGAGCACTGGGTTTCATCAGCCTACAGGTAACTAATGGAGACCTAGAGGTCGGCAAGTCAGAAAATCATTAATATCCCATTAATAATGCAGCAGGGGCTAGCATTGTGGCTTCACTGCTTTAGAGGAAGGAGGGGAGAGTGGAGAAAATAGCAGAGGGTGCAGATAGGAAGATAGGGTTAGAGGAGGGAAAGAGGGAAGAGAAAAAAGTCTACAGTATGTGTGCGTGTGTGGCCATTGATCGAGTGAGGAGGGAAAAAAATGGGTTGACATTGAGAAATATTAGCATATTAGCACATGAAATGAAAACATTCCCAAATCAAATGTGTGAAAGAGCCATGAAAAGAAACCATTTAAAAGTGGCCAACTTTTATCTTATAAGCCCTGTTTATCATCTGTCCCTGCCAAACTGTAAAAAGAAAATTTAGGTTCCAAAGTGTTTCCTTAAAGGGGTGGTTGATTGCGATTTCACTTTTTTAATGTTAGTTAGTGTGTAATGTTGCTGTTTGATCATAAACAATATCTGCAAAGTTACGAAGCTGAAAGTTCAATGCAAACGGAGATATTGTCTTTTAAACAATCAAGCCTATAAAAAAAACAGTCAACCACCCCTTTAATCAGGCATTTTGGTGTTTTAACATTAACCTGTTAAAGACCCCCTGTGGTGAAAATCAAGTTTTTAACATTGTCTGCCTGCTGCTTTAAATATGCTTAAGGATAAACCATGTGCAAATTCATCAGTCAATCAATACCACTGCTGAGCTTTTCTCCTTAAAACGGCAATGTACCGAAGACTGTTTGACCGCTGTTTGAAAGCGCTCGTTTCCTACCTTCACAAACATGTAACCAATCCCAACAACTTGTGGGGAGGGGCTTTTATTGTTATCTCCACTGGTCATAGGTTTCTATTTACAATGTGTTTTTGCAGCACAACAGATATGTCTGTGATAGGCAATGTAGCCTATCACAGACATATCTGTTGATTTCATTAATTTCACAAGAGCCAATCAGAGGTGTTTAGGTTAGACAGAATCCACTCACTGCTCAAAACGCCAGTGCTGAGTTCTACTCTCAATATAATAGACAAAGTGTAGACGCGA